TATAAGATTTATATAATAATTCAAGATCAATACAAATTTTTTTTATTGAATAACAGCTAATGAGTTTAGTGATCAAAACAGAGTTTATGGTTTCACTCTGCAACATACTGTACTATCTTTTACTTAGCATTGATAAGATGCTTAGTTGTTTACTAGATTTAGGTAAAAAACATATATATATGACCTCAATATATATATATATATATATATATATATATATATATATATATATATATATATATATATATATATATATATATATATATATATATATATATATATCTAAAGCAGCCGTGGCGCAGTGGTTAGAGTTCTGGCTCAGAACCCAGAGGTCCGAGGTTCGACGCCAGCTCTAGCCCAACAAGCGACATTGGTACGGAAGGAGGCGTGAACTTCCTGTTAAATGCTCTCCCGTGGTGCTCTATGATAAGACCATAAGGACTTCTGGGAGCACCTAAATACATACAAAAAAAAAAAATATATATATATATATATATTGAGGTCAGCATATATATATACATATATATATACACATATATATATATATATATATATATATATATATATATATATATATATATATATATACATATATATATATATATATACATATATACATATATATATATATACATATATATATATATATATATATACATATATATATATATATATATATATATATATATATATATATATATATATATATATATATATATATATATATATATATATATATATATATATATATATATATATACACTCTTGCATGGTAGTCAAAAAGAGTTTCCCATAAACTGTAGTTTTAAAGAGCGCGTCAATAAACCAGACCAGAAAAAGTTTAAAAACTTAAATTTTTTTTTTAAATGATAGACTGCCTGCCCAAACCAAACTCTCAGTCGATGTAGCAGCACTCCCTTGCGAGTCAGGTTATTTGTCAGTCGATGTAGCAGCACTCCCTTGCGAGTAAGGCTATTTGTCAGTCGATGTAGCAGCACTCCGTTGTGAGTCAGGCTATAACATAGTCGATGTAGAAACACTCCCTTGTAGCAGCAGGCTATAAGATAGTCGATGTAGCAACATTTAAGCATGTTTTAAAAATGTTTTTTAATAAAACAAAAACAAAAACACCACTAATTAAAAAAAATTTTCTAGTCATTATTATTGCGGTTTTTAAAAATTTTTTTAAAAAACAATAAAATTTAATGTACTTCCGCATTAATTTAATTGCTTTGACATTTCGACGACAATCAAATACAGCTTAAGAGACGAGGTAATTAAAATTGTAGTCAAAAGAGACTTTTTTACATTGAAAGACTCTTTCGACTACACTATAAGGATATATATATATATATATATATATATATATATATATATATATATATATATATATATATATATATATATATATATATATATATATATATATATATATATTGAGGTCAGCATTTCCAAATGCAACCAAATGAAACAAAATTGTTATTTTTGGTTTTAATACATAAAAAATTGCATTTTTTAAGAAAAAATGAAAAAAATGCATTTCTAATGTTTTTTTATGATAATCTTGATAAATAAGTTAAAAATATTTTGAAGTGAATACTATTTTTGAAATATTTTTATAATTTCGCTTCATTTGAGTACCAGGTTGACATATGTTTGAAAATTTTTTTTTTCGAAAATATTAGGGACCCATTAAATATTCAAGGGTCTTGAGGGACCCCTTAAAATATTTTTTATTTAAAAAAAATTTAAACCTAGTGTTTTTGTATTAGATAGAACACATTTAGGGGGGTAAGAGCAGATTATTTTCAAAAATGTTGTTTTTTGGGACACCCTAATATATATATATATATATATATATATATATATATATATATATATATATATATATATATATATATATATATATATATATATATATATATATATATATATATATATATATATATATATAGACACACACATATTCTTCAACATCTTTGCTTCCAACAAGGCTACAAGCAACCACTATTAGAGATGGAAGTTACTGGAAGAGAAAAGATGAAAATTGTAGAGCGAGATCGACAGATGACTTAAAAGATTGCAAACTATATGAATCAAGAAGGAAGCGAATTCCAAAGAACTGAGGACTGAGGAAAAAAACTAGACAAATAAGAGTTTTTGGAGCACTTAGGAACAGTCACAGAATAAGGATGACACTTGATTGAATGACGAGTAACACGAGAATGAATTTAAGTAAGTGGTACAAGAGATGCTACCTCTTTAGAGCAGTGCCCATTATAGCATTTGTAGAAAAGAGAAAAAGAAGCAACATTATTGGATTGGCTGCAAGAGCAGGTCCAACTATACTTACAATACATTTTTGCACCTTGTCGAAAAGAGAAAGGGTATCATTAGAAGATTCGTATCAGATATGGCAACAGTATTCCATACAAAGCCGGATTTGAGAATAGAATCCCTAGTAAAAAAGTGTCAAGCTTGAAAAAGAGATGTAACCTTAGCAGATGCTAATTGATGATGGGTAGATGACTCATCGAGTACATTACTGTTTATAAACAAAGGAAGATTTAAATTATTGCGATAACTATTGGCTAAAAAAAATTTAAGTTTTATTTGAATAAAATTTCATCAGCCATTGTGAGCCCATGCTGTAGCAAAAGCTCAAATGCCCCCTCTAAGCAATCAGACAGTGTTAGCTTCTTATCATGACAAGAATAAATGGTAGTACCATCAGCAAACAATATCACCTTAGGTGGAGAATATCTGGAATATCATTAATGTAAATTAAAAAGAGTATAGGACCAAGGATTGAACCTTGAGGAACTCCTGAAGTTACAGAATATGAAGAAGAGTGCTGTCCAACGATGACAACTTTTATACTATGATTGAAAAAGAAGGATTCAATAATCTTAAAGATGTTACCAGATACACCGTAAGAAGAAAGCCTATGGAGAAGACCAGCATGCCAAACTTTATCAAACCCTTTAGAAATGTCAAGAGCAATGGCCTTAACCTCTCCATCTTTATCTAATGCGCAATAAAACCTATCGGTTATTACTGTTAGCAAATCAGCCGTAGAACGAGAAGATCGAAATCCATATTGATGATCAGAAAGTAGGTTATAAGATTCAAGATGAGAGATTGTTAATTAAAGATTCAAAAACCTTGCTTATGATAGGAAGAAGACTAATGGGATAGTAGTTAAATGAATCGGATCGCTCTCCAGAATTTTTAAAAATAGGGATAACAGATGCTGCTTTCCAGCAGGCTGGAAAACAAGACTCTGATAAGCACTTGTTGAATAGTTTTGAAAGTATAGACGACAGCTCCGGAGAACACTTCTACAACACTATAACAGGTATGTTGTTTGGACCACAAGCTGTGGTCTAAGCAGGAAATCACTTTAGATAAAGAGGCTGAAGTGATATAAATGTCAAGCAATGTATCAACCTGTTTGACGGCTAAATCAGGTAGAACGCAACTAGTGGAGTCAAGAGATGATATTGATGAAAAGTTCTTAGCAAACAATTTAGCTTTGTCTTTAGGTGAGGTGACAAAGTCTGAACAATACAAAAGAGGTGGAATTACAGATTTGCCCTTATTATTGATACTATTAAAGATTCTCAAGAAGTCACAAGAGCCTAACTTTTGTGATGAAATACAAGATTGTACAAATGGATGAATTTTTACAAATGTTAATGCCTAGGCCAAGCATGTGACTATTGGAGTCTTTAAGAATTAAAAGAAGATAACCAGCAACACTAAGATCACAAGTTGAGACAGCTGAACTCAAATTAGTCTCACAAAGAGCAAGTAGGTCTGGTAAACTTTGCAAGAGATAAGACTCAACAGAAGAAAAGTTACTTCGAAGACCACGAATATAAGTGAATGATAGGTTTAGAGAACTTGGTGATGATGATGGTTTTTTGTGTTACATTAAATAAAATACTTTTTTTGAAAAATAACAAAAATATTTTGTATTAGTATATTTATAACTATTAAGACAAAACACTTTGCTTGTTAATATGAATAAAGCAAAAAGGTAAATAATTTCAAATTAGTATTTTGAAATAGCAGAAAGAGTTCAAATTGGTATGATTTATAAAAAAAAGTCGCAAGAATAAAAAAAAATATCAAGAAAGCAATGTGTAGATAAAAAGATGCGAAAATTCAATGTGAGCCTAATCTGTATGCTGAATTAATTGATAATAAAATTGTTAAAAAATATAAACAAAATTCTTAAAAGAAGTTTACGCCTTTTAGAGTGTCCGGCATTATGCTAAACTACTAGTGCAACATATATTTGAATTAGATGTAACATAAATAGTTTAAAAAAGGACCTATAGGAGAAGCTGAATTTAATCAAACTACTCATGAAGCCATCACTTCAATTTGAGCTTATAGAGTAACAATTGCATGTTAACAAAAAGGTTATAAGCAATATTAGTACAGCCTAATAAATCTTTTTAAGTACTGCATAGGTATCTCAAAAGGTTTTATGCAAGGTAGCTAAAATTGCCTCACATAATATATAAAAGTTTATAATATAATATATAAATATAATAATATAATATATAACGGTTTATTTTATTTAAGTGTTGTAAGTATATGAAGTAATGTTCAAAAAAAAGAGAAAAAAAGAGAACGTCATCTTTGTCCATAATTTTTGTCCATTATCCATAATTATGTTCATAATTTGCCAACTAATCAATAAGTTTTTTTACTATAGAATCTAGTTTGCCAACATAAAAGGATGTATACATAGGTTAGAGAGATAGTATCCTCCTACACACACATCTCACCCCTCATAGCACTGATCCTGAGTAAAGTTAATTTTTCTGTTTGGTCATTTAAAAAAAAAAGGCAAATGTGTAAACCTAAAACAATTTTTAAAAGTATGCATGGCAACAGGGAAAGATCAGATTTCATGTTTTTTAACAAAATTTTAAGAAAATAACTAAAATCAACAGCCTCCTGAAAATAATGCAACTAAATATTACCTAAATGTTGATAATGAGTTGCAGGATCCATTATTTCATTGATCTGTGCTGGTATATCCATCATTGATGTTCCAGTTTTTTGCCTTTGAGAGCTGTATCTTTTTGGTTTATCTCGAGGCACTAAATATATTAGAAAATATCATTTCAAAAAAAGATTTAAAAGAATAACATAACATAATTTAAAAGATTAATATATTAGATAATAATACTATTTCAATAATAAAATATAAAATAAACATTTTGTTACCCTAAGATACTTATCATAAATGTTTATAGAATATATTTTTTTAAATACCACATAGTTTATTTAAACAAGCATTGCTTTTTATAAAATGTAATATGAAGCATTCAACACTGTAACATGTTTGTAAGTTTTTAAATGTTGAAAGCTAGCTTTTCTTAACCATATTAGTAATAGCAGTGACACTGAGTCTTATTAGTTTGTTTAAATGTAAATTATATAATTTGAATATAAATATAAAAAAAAGGCAGCCCTTGAAATTAAAAAAAAAATGAAGTCAGCAATAAATTGCCGACTATAAACTGTCAAAGATCGGCAAAAAAATTTATACACAAAGGCCTTTCCATAAAACATAAAAACAAGGACGACAATTTTTTTGCCGACCTCAAACACTTTTAGCTTGGCAGTTGAGTCAATATTGCTGAATGCCAACCTTAATTCCAAGGTCAAATTTATGAAAACAATGCCTCCATTGTTTATAATAAGTATAATTATATAAATATATATATAAATACCTCCATCATCAGGACTATTAACATCTTCCAAAGGGACTATAAAAAAGCAAAATTATTATCTTTAAATAAATAATTTTATTTCTTTAAATATTTAATATATAGAGTCTACAAAACAAAACAAACAAACAAAAAAACTTTATCTTAAAACAAAAAACAACAACGAAAAACTTCAATCTTTAATGAAAAATTAAAGAAATGGTACCATTGCATAGCCACAACTTTTTTTGTTTATGAACAACTCTAATTTTAAAAAGGTTACTGACCAATGCATATAAAAATGTTAACTCTTGCTTTAAAAAATGATTACTGACACATTCTTATAAAAAAGTTACCAAAACATGCTTTAAAATAATATTTTATTAGGCACAAAATTTACTACTTTTATATTTAATGTACTATATTTAACATTTACTATTTTTATATTCAATGTATTATATTAGAATATACTATTTTTATATTTAATATACTACATTTAACATTTACTAATTTTATATTTAATGTACTATATTTAACATTTACTAATTTTATATTTATTGTACTGTATTTATTAATGTACTATATTTATATCAAATATTTAAGAAAAACATATAAACAAGCTTTTCATGTCTACATAAATAACTCAATCTGGTTTAAATACTCGAAAACTTGTACCTTTTTTTTAAAAAAAAAACAAAGTCAATGTCACAGAGATCATTAAGAAAATGTGAAGTTTTCAAATGACTTTTCCAAATTAAAAAAATATAATGTAACAATTTATAAATAAAATAAAGTGTAATGAAATCATTAAATTTAAAAAATAACAAACCAGTAACGTTTTCTTTGCTTTGTTCAGTTTCATCTTCTTCACTTTGACTTTGCTTAACCTTTTTGTCACGCTCTTGATCTGCTTTTTCTCGAGCTTTTTCTTGCAGACGAGGTGGTAGTTCTTCAATACGTCTGCGACGACTACCATTAATAAAATCTTTTGATTTTTCAGAAGCCTGGAAGTTTTCATCAGTACTGCTATGATCATACTCTTTACCATCTTGTCTTTAAAATAAATTAAAATAAATGTTGAGTATATTATCAATATATAACTTTAATTTATATGTAGGTTCACTTTAAAACAATTTAAATCAGTTTTAGACAGCTTTATTTTAAGGGTAAGAAAAGATCTAAAAACCATGGAAACTGCACAGACCTTATTTTATTGGTAGAATTTTTTTTTTTTAATTTTAATTATTTTTAGCAGTTGCTTGAGTGCCTCAATGGTATTATTTTAGACTTTTTTAAAACCCTTTTTAAAGCCAACTTTAAGCACAATTGAGCTAGTTTTGTATGTCAAAATAGTTCAATTTTCTTTTTAAATTATCAGTTAAAAGAAACATAAAATTGCACAGTGATTTTATTAATTGAATATATTTTATGTAAATCTGTCTACAAATTTTCAAACACATGCAACTTTTTAAAATTTTTGCACCTTTCTGTAATCGCTCAAAAACACCAGATATAGCATAAAACGTAAGAGAATCTTTATTATGATTGTTGATCAAAAAAAAAAAACTTTACATATTTACAAATTGTTTTTTTGTTTTTCTTGGTGGTTTTGCTTATTCCTCCATATTTTCTTTTGTAGTTGTGCAGAAATAACAGCAAATCTTGTCTCTTTCCTTCCTTTCCGGCAATATCAATTTGTCCTTTATAAGTTTAATAATTCTTTCAGAGCAATCACACAACACAAAAAATTATTTGTCACTTTTAGAGGTTTTCTGTAGTAACCTTCTGAACTCAAATGTATAAACAGTTTTATGTATAAATTTTTTTTCTCCATAAAACTGTTTTACAAGTATCTGGTCTTTTCTGTTTTAGATATTGTTTAACATAATTGTTATTTTCTCAAAATTGTAAAATACCTGCAGACTCATTTTGTTATATTTGTGGTTATATTATTGAGCCAAAACAACCAAAACATCAATTAATGTGTTGGATCAAGCTGAGGACTGAATATGCTGCATACTTTAGGATCCAAATAGGTAAAATCAGACTCTTGCATAAACCTACAGCATGGCGATGGTTAATAGACAATTCCATTTGTAGCCTCATAAGTGTTATTTTACATAATAGAAACCATATTCTTCTACACCTGTGGCTCACTCAATGCTCAATCACTGATGGAAGATTCAAACAACGTTAAATTTTTTCTTAAGAAGATAAACTACAACAAGTATTAATGGAATATATGTGGAGACTTGAAGATAATTGACTTACCTACAAAGCAGGTACACCAAATATTTGTGCTTCCTGTGTCTTTGGACAGAACATCAAAACACTACCTTACTCGAGACTGGCCAGCATTAACAGAGCTAACAGCTGGTATATACAATGCAATAGGTAATTTTGCCAGAGAGGATTCTGTTACCACCTTTGCATATCAAACTGGGACTAAACAAATAATTTGACAAAGTACTGGATCCACTATCACCAGCTTTCCAGTACATATGTTCCATGTTTTCTAAGTTATTGGATGTAAAACTGAAACCCGCATTTTGATTCGACCACAGATAAGTTGCATATTAGAGTCAGAGGAATTATAAACTATGTCTAGTTTGGAAAAAAATGCATGGCATTTAGGGATGTAGTGAAGGAAATTGAAGGCTACAAAGAATAAGTAAATAATTCATATAGAACATATGAAAAATGCACATAACTGCATCTTTTATAAAATTTTGTTGAGCTGTGTCATTAACAACAACCAGATGAAAAACAACCTCCTGAAACATCCAATAGTCTGGGCCACAAATACTCTGTAACCATTGGAATGTAAGCTTAGAGGCTTTGATCCATTGAAATCTAAAAAATTAAGGACCTTTATGTTGGCTCTCATTCAGGTTAATGGATATTCATCCACGCTATGAAATTCATAGTTGTATAGTTTTTGAGCAATTCTCCTCTTCACATTTTTTTTCAGCTAGAGCTAGCACAATAAGATAATGGTTCAGTGTATCATTATGTTAAACTATGTGTGTCATTATTTATTAAAAATCTAAAAATTTACTGATATAAAACAAATTCCTTCCTTTTGCTGTGAAGCTACAATTTCAAACGTTTATCAATTATACTCTTAATTATTGAACCATGCTGCATATGACTTATTTCTTCCCCAATCAGCACTTATCTTGAGAATATTTTTTAGAAGTAGAACAGTATCATATTTTTGGAGCTTTTACTTCAATTCTTGATCAGGGAAAATCATCTTCGTTCTCAGAACCATTTAAGCTGAACTCGATATCTGACATGGTTTCATGTAAACTTGATTTCATTTCAAACTTAGATAAACTCCTGTTAACAGAAGAAAGGTTTTTTTATCTATCCAACCTATTCAAGCTTTTCTCTCTTTAAATTGGTCCAATACTAAAATTTTAAAATTAAGATACTTTAACTTTAACATTGTTTCATGCTTTTTAAAATAAAATTTCAAAATTGGTTTTGCTTAAAAGCTTTTTGCAAAGTTACAGCCGTGTGCAATAATCAGAAAAAGCCATATAAATTTGAAATTGTGTAGATAAATTTATATAAAATATTTTAATTAAAACTTTCATGCACTTTCATTTGATTCTTTTAACTAAGAAGTCTGGAAATAAAGAAAATTGAATCATTTTGACATAAAGATCTAAAATAAAACCATTGAGGCACTTGAGCAACGCCTAAGAGTGATAAAAATTTAACAACAAAAAAACTCTACTAATAAAACAGGGGTCTGTGCATCAGATAAGACTACATCATACTTTATTATCTTCTTTTCAAGACTTCTAAATAAAGCAGTCTGTTTTATATATTATTAATACTTGAAACTTGTGTACATTCACTTAAAATAAAATAAGTCAAAACAATTGTTGTATTCAGGTGAAAAAAAGGTTAAAACTAAATTATTTTTATTAAACTTTTTATTTAACACACACATATCACTACAAAAAAGTGACTAAAAACATATTGTATTGAACCATTTCAATCTTTTATAGACACCGTAATGAAATTTCAAGTATAGATTTTGTATATAGACTTTGCTTTGTTATACACTGTTATATGCATATGCATATAACAGTGTATAACAAAGTGTAGAACAAAGTGTATATGCATATGCATATACACTTTGTTCTATTTTTATTTAAATTTACATTCAACTTATGATTAATGCATGTAATAATTAATTTATTACAGTGAAAAAAAAAATTAAATTAAAAATTGAAAACAAAGTTTTATTGGTTGAATAAAATTCATCAAATATTGGAAGTTACTAATTTGATATTTTTGTATATAAATTGTATTATAAAACAAATATATATAAAAACACACACATTAAAAAAAAATTGTAGATGACAATTAGTTGGTGAATAAATGATGAGTGAATTCATTTAATAAATTTATATATAATAAAAACTTTATATCAACTAAATTTTTATAATTTGTAAAGCAAACTTGCAAATTAAGTATTTAGTTAAAAAAACTCTAAATAACTCACTTTTTAATGTTGTTGTTGGTTTTTACTGTGCCAACGTTTTCATTTCTTACAAAATTTTTTTTATCTACTTTATCAGAATCTTCTTGTCTATTACTTGTATGCGCTAAATCTTTATTTTCATCCTTCAACTTTTTGTTATATGGTCGACGAGTATTAGGTGGTCGAGTTCTGTTTGGATTTACTTTAATCTCAAACTCTGAACTCTGATCTTTATGTCTGCTTTTATTATTATAAGGACGACTAACTCTATGCTCATTTGAGTTTATCCATTCATCTACCTTGTCTGGTTGCCTTCTGTTATTTGACTGATTGTAATTTTTATTATTTTTTTCTGTATATCCATTATTTTCTTTATAATTTTTATCCCTATCTTTATTTTTGTTTTGATTGTTGTTGATGAAATAATCCTTAAGCTGCCTTTTCTTTCTGGGTCCATTTTGTTTTCTTCTTTCGTCAGGATCATAAGCATTTTGCTGTTAATAAAACACAGTAAAAAAAGTTTAATGTAGATAATGCTATGTAAAAATTAATTTTTTATAAACTTTTCAATAACTTATAAAAAAAAAGTTGAATTATGAAATTTTAAAACTAAATAAATTTAAAAAAAGAAATGCACCAAAACTTAGCGCTTTAACTATTGCATATTTTTTAAAATATTTTAAAACTAAAATTTATTAACCTTTTTTAATTGAAAGATAAAATTTTTAATTAAATTATATTTCTATTAACTTTATTTTTCTTTCTATTAATTTTATTTTTCTTTCTATTAATTTTATTTTTCTTTCTATTAATTTCATTTTTATTTCTATTAAATTTTTTTTTATTTATATTAATTTTATTTTAGTAAAAAAATTGATTTAAAAATTTTAATGTCTAATTGATATTAACATTATAAAATTTATAAAATGTTCAGGAAAAAAGTAATTTAATTTATTATTTTTATAATAATTTATTTTTTTCATTTATTTAATAATTTATTTACCTCAATTTCCCATTTCTCTTTAGGACGTTGTTCAGATTCTACAAATTTATCATGTTGCCATCGATCAACCTCACTTTTGTCCCATAACTTTTTTTGATTAAATCTTGGCTCCCTACAAAATAAAAAATAACCATATAATGCAAGTGCAATAATAATTAATCAAAAATATCTGTCCTGGAAATAACATCTAATCAACTAAACTGAAAAAAATTATGTTTTGATTTCCTAATATCAACTCTGTTCAATCAAATTTGATCAGCAAGAATTTAAATACAGTAAAAAACAAAAAGTTGAAGTTAGCGACTAAATGATTATTGGAATAAAAATAGTTTTAAGAACATATCAAACTTTAGTTTAAAGTATAAAAGAGTGCAAAAATATTACTGAATAAGCAAAAACATAGAATGATAAAAAAATACCAAATATTTTTAATTGGCCAAACAAACATTTAATTCGCCAATCAAAAGTTCAACACAATGTTATAATTTTTGTTTTAAGTGTTAAAATTGATTCAATAGAATGTATTAAATAACATACAATATACAACAGACTTACTTTACCCAAAAAGAAAAAAAAAAGTAAATTTTTTTACTTTTATTTAAAGAAAGATACTTTCTTTTCATATTATCTTGAATCTTCCAAAACAAATAAAAGTTTTAACAAAAATGATATTTCTACCTATTAACTCTATTTAATTGCAATTTTCTTTCGTAAAGAAAAGTTTATAATAAGAAATTAATACTTAAACCAAAAAAAAAAAAAAAACTAAAAAAAAAAAAAATTTTACTTTTACTTTTAAATTTTAATATTTACTTTTAACTAAAGCTTTAGTTAAAAGTAAATATTAATTTTTTTAAAGAATAAAATAAAACTTTACTTTTTTCTTGGCGGGTTGTTGAAAACTTTAATTTATTTTGGGAAATTCAAAATAATACGCTAAAAGTGGCTATAGATAATGTACTGTAAAAATAATGTGCTAAAATGGCTGTACATCTGTAAATGAAAAGATGTATTGAGAAATAAATTGTATTTTATTAACAAATTTTTTAAGTAATTTTTTAAGTAATAATTAATTAAGGTGGCTCTATGGTTAAAACACTAAAAATTCAAAAAAAAAAAAAAAAAAAAATTTTATTTGAAATTTATCCTAGATTCAGAAAATATATATTTTTATATACATTCAAACTCAATATTAGGAGTATTATCCATTTTTTCAAGGTACTGTCTTTTCAGCTTCTATAGCAACACCCCTAGCAACCGTGATTTCATGTCTTTTTAGTCAGGTTTTAAATTGGTGTACACTTTAGGGTGAAAATAAATTTCACTAAAAATCTTCTGTAAATATACCATTAGCTATTCATAATGCAGTAAAACAGATTTTTATTAATTTATGCTCTGAAATTTTGTTAAAATGATGTCTACATGGTACTACCCAAAATTCAAACGAAGCATTGAATCAAATAAATTTGGTAAAGGTGTCCTAACAATGTATTTGTTTGCAAAGAAGTTTTAGATATTGGTGTAACTTTAAGTGTTATTCATTTCAATGATGGAATGTCCAGTTTTTCAGAAGTTTTTAAGATTCTAAATCTCAAATTCAGATATCTTAGTAATTATGGTTTGTATAAAATAGAGATTCAAAGTTATTTGGAAACATTCATTCAAAGTTATTTGGAAACATTTATCTTTTAAATGCAGAAGTTATTTTTTTAACCGTAGAGCCACCTTAATAAAACTATTTCTATTTAACAAAACCATTTTATAAACAAATGAAAAAAAGTAGATGATGGTAGTTAAGTAGTTGTTGTGGATTGTTGCAGGCTCTAACTACTTAGCGTACTACATCATTTTTTTTTTCAAGAACAACCACTAACTATGATAAAAAAGGAACATTTTTGTGATTGTAGCTTTCTTTATTTATAAAAATAATTAGAAAATGTCAAAATTTCAATAGAGGGCATAAAAATTTGGCACATGATTGAAATATATTTAATACTAAATAAAAAGAAACAAGAAACATATATCTTATTAATCTGCAAAAGCAATTTTGAACAAAAAAAGTTTAAGTGGAAATTGCCATTACAAGTATACTTTCAATGTAATACGTAAAACAAAATTATTTATTTTTCATCGATTAAGCTAATCTAACAAAGATAAATAAAATAACAATAAATAAATAAAGTAATCAAATGCAGATACAACTGTCATCATAAATTTATTTTTTTGTTTAATGTTAAAGAAAAGCAAAAATTTCACACTTCTTAAACATAAATAACTGTAATCTAATAGTCTTGCATTATTAGATGGTATGCAAGAATCAGTAATAAAAATTTAAAATCTAACCTTGAGGCTTCTATGTTTATATCAGCAAATCTATCATCGTGATCCCAAAATCCTGTGCGTCTTGGTACAAAACTTGCTTTTCCATTTTCATCCTCTGGTATGTCATCTGCTGCCTAAATAATATGCCTATATAACAGTGTCATTAATTTCACTATGAAAAACTTTTTTAAATAGCGCTATATACAAATTACACAAGCAAAAAGTATATTGATGTGCCAAATGCATCAGCATGGCAGGTGCATACAAAAAAATAATACTTCTATTGATGACAACTATTTTTATTAATTAATCAGCAAATTAATGAAATATTTAAAAGTAATAAAAGAAAGTATACCTAAAATAATGTACAAAATGTATGTACTAAGTACCTGTTCTTAAGAACAGGTACTTAGTACATACACACTACACATATATGTGTATAGTACATACACACTACACATATATGTGTGAGTGTGTGTATATAAAAACGTAAAAATTGCGATAAGCTTGATCCTTTTTTAACTTAAGACCTGTTTCTCTTACATCAGTTATATGCAAAAATTTTAGCAATCATTCTGCATCTTTTAGACAATAATTTGATAAATAAGAACCAGCATGGTTTTTTTTACCAGGTAAATCTTATTTTACAAATTTACTTGAAAGTCAAGATATTATAACTCTAGCAGTGGATCAAGATTATCCTATTGATATCCTCTTTGCTGACTTTTCTAAAGTATTTGACAGAGTTCACCATAAAAAATTTATTAAAAATTGAAATGTACAGTATAAAGGGATTCATTCTTAAATAGATTGAGTCTTTTTTATCAAATAGAAGAAAAGAGATGTTCTTGAAGACATTGCTTCTACGTGGCTCAGTATTTAAAGTAGTGTACCACAAGGCTCTGTTCTGGGACCAATTTCGTTTTTAATTTATATCAATGATCTTAGGGTTAAACTAAAAAATAAATGCAAACTCTATGCTGATGACTGCAAATTTTTCCACATAATCCATGATAACAGTAGTAATGATCTACAGGATGACATAAATTCAATTTTTAATTGCAATAACTGGAGTATGCAACTAAATATAGAAAAATATTATTCAATAAAAGTAATAAATTAAATAAAAATAACAATATTCTATTTCTGATTATCAATTGAGTACTGTGTATTGTGTAAATGATCTTGGTATCATGTTTAAAAGCGATCTGAAATATGGTCATCATATATCTGCGTGTGTTTCTAAAGCAAATAGAATTTTAGGTCTTATCCAACACACATTTTCATTTTTAAATTCTGATATAGTTAAATTGTTATATGTTTTGCTAGTACACCCTTATCTAAAATATGCTTCTTCTATTTGGAATCCATTTTTTAAAAAAGACATTAATCTATTTGAAGGAGTACAACAGAGCAGCAAAACTGATTCCAGGATAGACAAAGCTTCTTTATGAGGAAAGATTAAATAGACTTAATTTAACAACACTATCTATGAGAAGAGAAAAAAACAATTTAATTAACTTTTTTAAATGTCCTAATCGTTCTTATCAGCTAAGTACAGTATCTTTCCTAAGGAACTTTTGTCGACCAACTGGACCAGCTGGAAGTGTTCATGACTATATCTATAATCATAAATATACTTCTGAGATCTGTAGACACTCGAGTAGAAGGAATTTTTTTCCAATTGTGTTATTCCAATTTGGAACAATTTGCAGTTTGATGTCAAACTTAATGTTAGTGTCAGTGTTAAACTTAAAAAAAAGTCTTGATGAACTTTATTATGTGAATTAAAATTTCAAATTGTAGTTTTTGAGCTTGCTGCTAAAGTGGATTACCACTCAGTGAGCATTTGATTAACAGATCTTCTTGATCTGATACTAATTGTTTCAGTTGTACAGATCTCAAAATCTATATTTACGTAATTGTCAACAGCTTATCCTTCATCTAATAAACCATGTGACCTTAGTCTGTTGATGTTCTCTTCAAATAATTTGAAAGGATCAACTTCACCATTTGTATTTGCAATCTGTATTTCCTGCAAGAGGCCTTCCTTTCTAAAATAATTCTTTACTGTGTTTGTTGATACAGCCCCCTATGACATAACCAACATGCTCATAGCTTCAAGAATATTGATCTTTGGAGGTGTTTTACCAGCATCGATATATTTGATCTAGAGCCTTACAAAATTCATGCAATAAAAAGACTTTAATGATCTTATGATTGCCTGGTCCTATAAATTGAGTTTTGGAGGTTGTGTTTGGGATGTAAAAATATTAATTCAATTGCTATGAAGTTGTCAAGATTAGGATGAGCTGTACATATATCTACAATTAAAACAATTTTCCTACCGTCAGCATTGAACTTTGCGTCAAGACTTTTTACATAATCAGTAAAATTTTTGTCTCCAAGTCAATCCAGGAGTCCATCCAGGATTGACTTTGGGACTTGTACTTTACTCCCAAAGGACAAGGTAAGCTTTTGATACCTTTAAAACATCATGGTTTTTATCCTTTCCAATTATCTGAATCTAGTGATAAATAAAATTATAAAACATATTCCAGAAATATCAACTTTTTTGCAAGAGTACAAGAAATATATATATTTTTGAATATATATTTCTTGTACTCTTGTAAGAAATATATATTTTTTAAATATTGTCTTCTTTTATTGATGAAAGTGATACTATAATAAAAACTCTCAATCCAACTTGACAGGCTGAAAGATAGAAATCTTTTTATGTTATTAAAACAAGATTTATAGATATACTTTGAGCAATCAATAAAACTATTTTGACTTCTCAAAAATCAGAAGAGCGTGAAGTTTTAAAAATAAAAAAAATTGATTTTAAACTGAAATTTTTGGTTATTTTACAATTTGTAAGTCGAATATTAAATGAATTTAACCCAATAAATTTACTTCTAAAAAAATAGAATAGAATTTAACGGAAGCCATTTCTTCGTTTGAAAAATGAATACTTTATATACTTAAAAATAATTATGTTTAGTTTAAGAGTGATGCAAACAAAATGGCAAAAGTGTATAGAATTACAACTGATTTTAAATCTAACAAACACCAATTCGTAAGAAATCTTTTGATAAACCGCATTTTGAAGAAAATTCAAGAACAAAAAAAGTCAAAAACAGGTTTTTATTGATAGCATTTATAACAAAACTTTCGTCTTGCTTTTATCTCATATTGGGAAAAGATTTAAATCTACAATAGAATTAAGAAAACCTTTTAGCTTTTTAGAACTGTCTAATTTATAAAAATGTAAAGATTTGGAAATAATTTGTCTCAAAATTTTTACAAAAAATACAAAAATTTTATTACACCAAGTTTGGAATATGAATTAATGGCATTAAGAAACAAAAATAACAGGATGGAAGAAGTTAACAAATGTGTTGATATAAAAGAATTATTGAAAGCATTTTTAAAATATGGATTAAAATCAGACTACCCAAACATTACTGCGGCTTTAATGATTTATTTAACTTAACCAATATCAGTAGCATCAAACGAAAAAAGCTTTTCTAAAATGAATTTAATAAAAAATTATTTGAGAAATACTATGGCAATAAATTGACTTAAATATTTATCTATTTTATCTATTGAAAATGCAATTACGGAATCACTAAATTTAGATAGAGCTATAGAAAAATTTGCCTATTTAAAATCGTGCAGAAAGTTATAAATTTAAAATTATTACATTATATTGTTGATGAAAATTGTTTTCATGTGCATCTTTGTATTTTGATGTAAAATATAACTCAAAATTTAAATTAAACTATTTTTTATAAATCATTACTGTTTTTGCTTATTAAAGTACTTTATTAGTAAAATTAGGGGCCAGAAGCAGGGATCACAACATATCTCCTTGCCTTGGGCCTCATTAACTGAAGTTACGCCTTTGGTCAGTACTGACTTCTTTAGCATAGATGTCATGTTGAAATTTTTACTGCACCACATTTAATAAGTTCAATTTTTTTTTAATTTTGATGTTACTTTTTTTTACATTTTTTTTTTTTTTACAACCCAATGACATCTTGAGCTAAATAAAAAACTATGAATAACTGACAAAGTGTTTGTAAAGGGGAACAAAAAACTACTTTGAAAAAACAAAATTTTGAATTACTGAAGGTTTGAATAACTGATGGATATTTGCATGAGTTTTAATTAACCAGGAGTTTACTGCATTATTATAATAATAATTTTTTCATGATAAACATCAAGATCAATCTTTAATAAATTTTTAAATATGAATGATCCTTTTCTTTGTTAAAATTAAACCTGACATTATTGTTCATAACATATAAATATATGCTCAAGTTTTTAAGCAAGATATTTCAACCAATTTTAAAAAAAAAATCAAAAGAAAGGTCATAATCACAATGCTTAGTGTAAAATCTTAGTGTATAAAGTGTAATAGCCACTTACAATCCTCACTATCAGTAACTTTTCGAACATCTTTTACAATCCATGGTTCACTTTCAATAATTTATTGAACCTCTCTCTATGTCCTTTTATAATTAAATAAAACTTTTATATTAAATACAGGATAACTTTCATCCAGGTGCCATGAATGGATGGCTTCCATGAGAAATTTGTGGTAGCCTAAAAGTTACTGAAAATGAAGGAGATTTTTGTTCATCAAAGACATCTTTAATACTGCAGTTAGATTCAACAATTTTAAAAATTTTTCTAAATACAATAAATAAAGAGAGCATATGGAAAAGACTAGCATGCATCATATCAGCATCCCAGACTTTATTAAAAGCTTTTGATATGTTAACAGCAACAGCCCTTGCTTCTATCTAATGCTCAATAGAACCTTTCTGTTATAATGGTTAACAAGTCATCAAAAACAAGATGACCAAAAATAAACAAGGTAATTTAAATATTAAAAACATTAATTATATGAATTTAACAATAAAAAAATCTGAACAAAAAAACGAAAAAAAAAATAATAAAAATGACAAAAGCCATTGTAGAGCATTAACTTCTAAATTATTTTATAAATACACTTGCTTACTATAAAAACTTGCAACAAAAGTTGAGCATTTAATTATAGTTTTAAAGTAAATGACTTTGTTTACAAAACAAAAGGTAACAAGCTTTGTCCCAAAAAATTTCAACAAGATAAAGTTATATCTAAAGTTATATTTCAACCAGTAGAACTTCCATTTTAATTATGTTTTCATTGATAAACTGATAAATGAAAGATAATTTGCAGAAACATATTTAGTTTTAATTTTTTTAAAGCAAGCTTCATACCATTGTAAACAAAAAACTTGAAAAATTTGTTTTATTCTTTGCTAAAAAATCTAAGGAAAACAATTTATAAAAGACATGCAAGATTCCTGCATAAAATGTAGGCCCTATGTTACATGCTGGCCCCACATGTTATACACGACAATAACCATAATATTGAGTTTTCCAATGTTTATAGAAATAATGCCAAAAACCAACTCATTATTTAAAGAAAATTTAATCTTTTAAATTGATACCATAAGTCTGTCAAAAATATCCTGAGAAGAGATATGAATAAATTATTTACAGTTTATTTATTTTTAGATTCAAGAAGACTAAACCAAGTTTTTATCAACATCTTCTCTAGTATTTATATAAAAATAATAATAATAATAATAAAGGTAAAAATTATTTTTAAATAAGAAATAATTTATAAATTATCATTACAAAAGATTACTTAAAAATAATACCTGTTCTGATGCTTCATTTACTTCTGCTTCATCCTCATTGCTACTATCTGCAGATACATCTTCATCAGATATATCTTCATTAGAGCCAACTAAAAATCATTGTAATAATTTTTTTACTTTATAGTCTTTTAAACTTTAACCAATATCTTAACAATATACTAATAAAACAGCTATAAAGTGTTAATGTATTATTATATGCAAATAAATATTTATATTTAATTTGAATAAGAGTAGTGAAGCAAACATGTACTCACCAATTAATTAATCCACTGCCTTTTTTGTTAATTATAAACATCTGATTTATAGATAAATAATAACTGAACAGAGTACCTCCCCAGCCCTGGCCCTATCTAAACATAAAGCTTTTTACAGACCTGACCCCAGGAAAATTATGATTTAGCAAGGGTTAATAGCCGGGGCTAGAAAAATATAATAAAACATATATTATAAATTTATGCAAATACTTACTAAATACCAATATACAGTATGGATATATATGAGTATAACCATATATGTTTGTTATTTATTTACTAACTGGCATCCTTAAATACTCATACTATAGTTGAAGAGGTTTGTCAAAATAAAAACATCTAAGGAATAAATATTTTTTAACCAAAAATAGTTTAACTATAAAAATATTTATGCTTTGATTAATACAAACAAACAACTCTATATATTTATCAATAATTTGATTAATTGCACTGTTATTGAAAATAAATTTGGTTTTGTCAAGGCATCATTTTGTTCCAAAAAAAGCAACCAGATTCCTAAACTGGAATACTTTGATTTCTTATCAGAAAAGCTTGCTTCTTTTAAAAAATACCAAGTAAAATCAACAAAAATCAATTAAAAGTTATTTTCATCTTCACAATGCCAATTTGAACAATTAATTCAAAGCTTACAATAGAATTGAAATTGCCAGGGCAAAATAAAAATCTGCAAATCATAAATTGTACAAAATCTTAAACTATTATCAGGTTATTTTGTTTTATTAATTAAAAATCACTAAACAAAGTATTATTTTGGAAGTTAATAAAACAAATGCAGGTGTTCCAATTAAGGCGCTGTTTCAATTTGAGCAACTCTCCCCTATTTATATGGGATATTATTTATTTAGAGATGATAATCAGACCAATGTGCGGTGACAAAATAAGAAAAAAAGTCACGATCTTAGACTGAGATTAGGAATAATAAGTTTATTGGACAAAGTTAATCAAAGGAGATTAAGGTGGTTTGGATAAATTGAGCATTGAGGATGCACATGTTTTGGGTATCAGTATATAGAGAGGTAGCAGCTTCAGAAAAAAAAAGTAGAGGTATAAATAAAAAAACTTGGAGAGAGTGTGTTGCAAATAGTACTAGCAAGCTTCAGTTAAGGAAAAAAAATGTTTTAGATTGTTTATATTAGAAACAACATAAAAGAGGGAGTCTAAAGTAATGATGATGATGATTGTGATGATGATCATGATTATTATGATATTCATACAACCCTGGCCATGGTCAAATATCAACCCCAATCGCTTACTATAAATAAGATATAAGATACTTACCTAGGTATGACTACATAATATATATAAAGATTAGTAAGTAACCGGGGCCAAGGCCTGGTTTGATAAAATATAGCTAGGGCCGGGTTTGTGACCGGGGCTGCATAAATATATATCCTAAAGTATATTTTCTTAATTCAAAATTTATGTTATGTTTTGTATGTAAATGCTTATATAAACATCATTACGATCAACATGATCATCATAATCATCATTACCATCATGATCATCATCATCATTATCATCATGATCATCATCATATAAAGTTTTTAAGATTATTAAATTATTTCTTTCTAACTGCAGTATAAAAGTTATTCTTGAAGGTCTACACACCATTTTATTTCAAGTAACTTTAAGGATACCACAAAGTTCTATTTTTGCTCCTCATGAAAATTTTACTTCTAAAGTGTTTCTATTTGCTGACGACTCAACTTTATATTCTTGTCTTGACAAAAAAATCTTCACTTTTTGATTGCTTAGAACAAGCAGCTGGTTTTTAATCTGATCTCTCTTCTGTAACAGCCTAAGACTTGCAATGGCTTCAGGATTTAAATCGTGGACCTAAAATTCTGAATTTTTTTTAGGCAATAAAACTCATTTATTTACTTCAAAAAAATATTGCAATTTTATTGGCATTCCTATATTGACAAGTAACAACCCTTTTACTCTGAGCAAAGTCTGAAAGCACATCATCTAATTAGACCTGCTTTATCTGCAAAGCTTGAGCCACTCTCCTATTGTTGTAAGGTTGCATTTATTTCTTTTTTCTACAAATACTATTATGGTAAATGCTCAAACAAGCTACCATCTCTATAACAATAAACGATATATTTCTATTACAATAAACCAAAACTCATTCTTACTTGGCTTTTTATTCAATAAGTTGCATCCTTTTACTGAATCTGTCGATTCAAGCTATAAAAACTTTTATTAATCCAGTTTTTTTCCTTGCACATCAAAAAAGCCTTATAACTCTTCCCCATCTTCATGTTTTCCTTTTTTTATCCGACAGCTTTTTAAGTCTTTAGTTAACCATTTTCTAGTATTTTAACCTATCCTCTATTTTTAAGTAATTCATAACTTAATAGTGGTTGCTTGCAATCTTGTTGGAAGTAAATTGTAGTTTAAAAATATATAAAGATATGGCAGTATATAATAAATAGCAGGCCTAGGGGAAGAAATAAGTGGGAGAGCGGCAAAAAGCTCTCCTAAAACAAACATCCTCTAAACAGCTTTTTAGGAGAGCTTTAAGTTTTTGTGAGAGCTATCTATCTATTAATTTAAAAAATTGCTTAATAATTACAACATTTTGATATTTTACTTGTTATAAGCCCAGGGCACGACAAATGGTTTTTTTTCATGAATGTTGATGTTCATATCTTTATTTAATGACGAACATCATTAAATAAAGATATGAATAAGAATTAAAAAAAAAAACATCACGAATGAATGTTGATGTTCATATCTTTATTTAATGACGAACGTCTAATTTATGAGATAATAAAATAAGTTGTTTTGACATTTCTTTTTAAAAACTTTTTCAAATAATATAATATTAAGTATTTATTATTAAGTTAATAAAAGCGTTGTTATATGCACAATAAAAAATAAAAACTATAATAAAACTATTAATTCTATAATTCTTTGAGTTGTATATATTTTAACAAAACTTAAATATTCTTTTTAAACATTTTAAAAGTGTTTTTAAAATGCAAATAAACACTACTTCACTTTGAGAAAAAAAAAGGAAAATTAAAAAAAAAAAAAAAGCAATTGTTAAATTTAAAGGGACTACCAAGTCCCGAGACATGTTGTGTTCATATTAAAGAGAATGTTAAAAAAAAACGTCTGAGCAAATTTTTTTTGATTAAAACTTATTAATAAATGTATACCAAGAAAAACAGTTTTGTTGTTTTAGTCGAAGCTTGTCTTCTCCATTTTCTGCAGTATTTGGAGTCTGCAAAAGAAACGCGATTTTCCAGGCGCATTATACAGACTTGATAATTTATTCAAGTGCGTTTAATTCATAGAAGTTTTGTACATGACATCATAGATTTTTTGTTTGTTTGTTTAAAACACCGATTATTATTTTTAAGATGCAATTTCCAAATCATATTCATTTTTATTATATTTTAAAGTTCTAAAATGTGTTTGTAAAAAAATTAAAAACAAAATAGTTTTTTATTTGCAAAATAGTTTTTTATTTTTATTTTTTTAAATAATTGTCTAGATGACATGCATTTTGATTTCTTTTGTTATAAGTTTTTCTTTCAAAATATTAGATAAAATAATTTTTAACCTAAATAATAATGCACTTATATTAATTTACTTTGTAAATATTTTAAAAAAATTATTAACGCATTTTTTCTCTGATTTTCAAAAATGTATTTTTTGGTATGGAAATGATCTTATTTCATTATTTATATTTCCATTATTATAACATCCAATATGGATGTTATAATAATGGAAGTATTATGGCTGGGGCTTAAAAACTAAAAAATTAATATATATGAATTTTTATTTTACGGACATACATGGAATCATAATTAACTTGAATGTTCTTAAAACATCTTGCGCAAGAATAAAAAGAATATATACGCGAACACTAAAAACCCGCCAAATTTGCAAACAAACTAATTCTATTGGTTCAAAAAATATGCTGACTAAGCAAAATAAAGTTCTAGAGTATTTTGTTGAAATGTTTTAGGAATTATATTATTTACGATTTGTTGCGTTTTGAGATATCTAGCATAAATTTTTTTAAGAATATATTATCAAATGAACTATTACTTTAATATTATGGCTCATTCTCGGAGCCACATCTGCAAAGCCATAAATCTTTTAAACTAATATCATTTGTTTACAAAAATAAATGTTTTATAATATATATTTTTTAAATTGTCAAAATTTTAAAAGTTAATTACAAATTATATATTTTATTAGCAAATTCTTATTTTTTATATCTTTTCCTAGTGCTTGGTTTAATTAGTTGTTCGATAGATTTATCGAAAGAACTTGGATCAAAATGTAAAGAACACACTCGTGAATCATTGGAGATATTATATAACTTGATTTGGCGCCATAGGGGTCCCTAAGTCCACCATTGCCATGGCCCATGTAGCCACGGCTCTGATAGCTACAAAAAAACAAAGTTTTTTTTAATGTGAAGATTTAAGAAAAGAAAATAAATAACCATAGTTAGCTATTTTAGTAAAATTTAATAGTAAAATTTTTAAAGAATTTCTAGAATGTTTCCAATGACATCATGTACTAAAACTTCTATGAATTAAACGCACTTGAATAAATTATCAAGTCTGTATAATGCGCCTGGAAAATCGCGTTTATTTTACAAATACCTCAGAAAATGGAGAAGACAAGCTTCGACTAAAACAAGATTTGTTTTTCTTGGTATACATTTATAAATTAGTTTTAATCAAAAAAAATTTGCTCAGACGTTTTTTTTTTTTAACGTTCTCTTTAATATGAACACAACATGTCTCGAGACTTGGTAGTCCCTTTAAGCACGGTTTCTTTTAAAGTAACTGCAAGCGCATTTATTTTAAGTAAAATTTTGCATACTTTTTTTAATGCGTTTAAAAAACTATGCTAAAAAATAATTACTATCTTTGAAAGCGTACTTAGTTATTTTACTTAATAGTAACACTGTTAAAAAAATTGCTGAAGTAATGTGTGTTTTTAAAAAATTAAAGCAAACGATAACTTTTGCATATGCAAAAATATAGAAACATGATGTTCATTTTTCTGTCTTTTTTTTAAACAAAAGTTTGCACATTTGCAGATTTGGCGTGCCATGTCAAGCATATGTTTGTTACGTTAATATTACAAAAAAGTATACATAGCAAGTATCATTTATTGCAGCATGTAAAGTTTTTATAGATTAGCATTGTTTTTACTGCTTATAAAAAAAAAATTATATTTTCTTATTGTAATAGATTGCAGGCATTTTAAGGATTATAAAAAATAATTATTAAAATAACTGCGTTTTTTTTTTTAGTTACAATGATAATTAAACTTTTGAAAGAAAATTATACTTTTGCGAGAGCCATAAATTGCTCCCATAAACCGAGAAAAAGTGTGGGCAAGAGTAAGAGCTAAAGCTAAAAAAAATTTTTTCTTGCTATCCAACACGGCTATTCCCTGGCTATCCAACACGGCTATCCCCTGGCTATCCCCTGGCTATCCAACACGGCTATCCCCTGGCTATCCAACACGGCTATCCCCTGGCTATCCAACACGGCTATCCACTGGCTATCCAACACGGCTATCCACTGCTAAATCTTATAATTTTACCAGGTTTGAAAATAGTCTCTTTTTTTTAAATGGGGCCGGGGCCCCGGTTACTTACTAATTAAGATATGATTATTTTTTAGAATAACCCATTTATGACTACAAAAGCATACCTGAAATATAGTCATCTTTCTCTTTTGCATGTTCTGTATTTTCATCCTTAAATTAATAACTACTAATGTAATATTGCTTTTAATATCTACAACAAAGTATTACAACTATCACTACTTACTTATATTTTAACCAATAAAATTACTTATAACTGCTTTTTATGAAAAAAGAAAAAAACAAGTTGATTAACAAAATTAAATTTATTTTAAATAAATGAAGTTTAATATAACTTTATAATATAAGGTAAAATATAAAAAGACAAAAATTAGATTAAATCTTACGTACATCAAAATGCTTCCGAAGTCGATCAGGCTCTGAGTCTTCGTCTTCACTTTTATACTCATCGCCAGAGCTTTGTATTTTCTTATTTTTCAAAGAACTATCTTCATCACTTGTATCATTTCTTTCAATTCTGTAATTTTCATTATTTTCTTCATCTTGTGTCAATGATTGTTGTACTTCATTTTCATTTCTAATTGCAATTTCATCTTTAAAATCATTAATTTCAAGATTTTGAATATGCTCTGGTAAACTTTGTTCTACTATGGAGCTTGACATTCTTTACAATTCTTCAAATTAAACAATATAACTCAAGCTTTTATTTTAATACCTATTAAAAAAATAACATATATATATATATATGTGTGTGTGTGTGTGTGTGTGTGTGTGTGTGCGTGTGTGTGTGTGTTCTTTAATGTTCTCAAGACTGACAGAGAGTGAGAACATTAAAGACTTTGTTCTTTAATGTTCTCACTCTTTTAGATGTTATTTCTGATTAAAATGACCAAGTCCATAAATGGTTATCACATGGAATGGCATTTAGAATACAATTTTTAGCTTGAGCTCCATACAGAATGATCTAAAAATGATCAATCATTTTTTGTTACAAGTTGGTAATTCATTATTTTTTTAAACCATATAGCAAATTAAATATTAAAAAATACTATTAAAATATGTATTAAAATATTAAATTAGTTAAATATTTATAAAAAAAATAAACAAAAAGTGTATAGCGTTTTATATCTGTCATTTTATATTGGTATTTGATCTTTATTTTTTTAATTTTATGTTATAAACTGCAAACTTCAGTACAAAGCTACAAACAGTATATAAAAATTGTAAAATTTTATTCACAGTCTGGAAGTGGAAAGTTGTCAGGCAAAAAATATTCGGGTACAGTTTACAGTTTATTATAAAAAGTTTAATGCCACCCCAAATGGTCTGATCATTATTCCCACCCTGTTTTAAAAATACGATTATGATCATATAAAATAAGAAAATTAAGATAATTGTTTTAAAATTAAAAAAATATATATTTCAATTTTTTAAATAAACAATTCAATTATTTTTTTTTTTGTGCAAAGAATTGTTAAGAATCTTTTTTAAAACTTTTAAATGTGCACATTTATTAAACAATCATCAGGTGTAAGTTGTTACTTTATTTAAAAAGGGTTTTGAATAATACTATATTAAAAAAAAATTTGTAAAGATAAATGATTTAAAGTTATTTATTCTAAAAATAACTTAGATAATCTTATCGTTATAGTTTTTATATATATATCCTTGAAATTAAGGTCTGCATTGGGCAATGCCAACCTAACTGCCGATATAAAAGTGCTTGAGGTTGGCAAAAAATCGCCGACCTCGTTTCTATGTTTTATGGTAAGACCATTGTATCAAATTTTTTTGCCGACCTCTAAAAGATTGAATTAATGGCAACATCATTTTTTTCCTAATTCTGAGGGTTATTTTTGAGGTACAGAATTGATGTTTTTTCTAGGCCCTCTGGATCTTAATACAATTTTTTTTTACTGCTCATTTACAGTTTTCTTATATTCATAAAAACAAATATTTCAATATATTAAATATCTATTTTACTATTGAACTTATATTTCTACTGTATTAGTTTCATCAATTAGCAACAAAATTTAAAAAAAATAAGGCATAAAAACTATGGCAAACATTATAGCAACCAAAGGTTTTAAATATTAAATATTACTCAATATAACTTGTTTTAGATTTAGTTACACAAAGAAATATTTGTAAAAAAATCACTTATAAATATTTTATCTAAAACAGTTAAAGTCTAAAAATTAAAAACTTTTGCAAAATAAATCCCCTCTAAACCCTTTAACTTCAACCTCAATGAAAAAAGTTAAACATAAAATATATTGTATGTATGTATATATGTATGTATGTATGTATGTATGTATGTATGTATGTATGTATGTATGTATGTATGTATGCAGGTTTTGGCAGGAATGGTGGGCTATAGCTCGCGCCCGCCTCCACACCTGTGCAAATCAGTTTACACAAACGAAATAAAGTCCACGCAAAATATAATTATTTGGTAAAAATAAAGTTATATACTTTAACGTTTTTTTTTTTAGTTATTCTTTTAAAAACTTTTTAAATGATGTAATTTTGTAAAACTGTTTGTTTTACTAGTTAAAAAACAAAACTCTTTCATTCAGAATATAATAAAAAATATATGAAAAAATTAATTTTTGAATATTCTGATGTAAAAATAAAAATCGAACAAGTTATTTTAAACAGCTATAACTGTACTGTATTAATCTGTGTTATGTTAAAAGATAAATAATTAGTATGTTAAAAAGCAGGCAAAATATGCATGTGTTGCAAAAGAATTTAACATAATAGTTCCGGTTTTCAGTATTCTTTGGAAATTTGATTAATTGATTGATAAACTAGTTTGTCATACTTTAAAGTTGTTTAGAGTAGTGTATATTTCCCTGTATACTTCCGCGTTAACTTCCTGGTTTTTTTGAAAAAAGCGGTAGTTTATTTTATATGCTAATATATAACTCATTATTAAAAATAGAATATCTCAATTATAATCAACAGACTGCTAATCGATTTTTATAATATAAATTTTTACCAAAATAGCGAACAGCTATTTTCGATCCAATAATTCAACCTGCTACAATAGTAAATGAGAAAAAAGACAACATTGATTACAACAGTTTAAGCAGTGAAAGTGAAACACCTGAATCAAGTGAAAGTGAACAAACTGCATTCGATTTTGAAATTAAAGATATTTTGGGCTGACTTATTTAAAATGAATATTTATAAATAATTTATAACTATATATATTCCTTTTTTATGATAAAAATAATGCTATATGATTTCTTCATATTTTATTTTCATTTTTATACTTGCGCTATATTTAATACATTTAAATATTTTACAGCAATAAACCTGATATATAAAATAATACTGCATTTAATACCCTTTTATTGGTTCTATTCATAAAAAAATGTAAAAGAGATTTTTTTTAAATTCATATATCACTTTTTTTTTATACACGCCTATAGTATATAAGAAGAATATATTTAAGAAGTATATACAATTTTAGTCTAAATAGTTGAAAAACAATTGTAAAAGAATAGAACTCTTTGGTTCAAGGTTTATTTATAAAAAGATTTCAATATAATTGTCACTATATCTTTATAGCTTAGAAATATCACGGTTAAATTTTTAAAATTGAATTTAATTTACAAAGGACAAGAAAAATGAATCAACTAAAGAAGAGCAAAAAAAAATTTTATGTTTTATTCCATTATTTTAATAAGACAATATATTAATACTCAAATAGATCTTGCAAAATTGCTACGTTCATTGTGAAATTTTTTAGGCAAACGTCAAGATACTTGAATAAAGAAATTTGATGGTTGCGAAGGTTGTTTTTCTGCCATTTTTTGCATTGCTTGCAAATTATTGGTTTGACTATATCTGGAATAAACTCAAAAAAAGTCCAATTATACAACTGATAAAACCGGAGAATAAAAGAATAAAGTCTGAACTCACTAATTAGAGCACAAAAAACTCACTAATTAGAGCACACACTAATAACTCTAAGCGAAAGATAAAAACTGCAATGTAACTTCATAAAACTATTAACTACAATTAAACAATGTAAAACTTACATTAAAAACAATGTAACTTTATAAAACTATTATCTCAACTTTACAAATATCCAACTGCTCGAAGTTTAATTATTTTAAATGTCTTTTTAAATGATTTGTCACTCTCCTACTTGTTAATAAAACGATTGTGGAAATTTTTATATACGATGTCATTTTCATTCACAAAGAAGAAGAGAAATGAATGAACTTTTATAATAATATAATTCATTCATTCTTATAAAACGAGTATATGATGTATAACAGTTTTTATTAGAATTGTTGTTTTATTAGAATGATTGATTATATTTCAACATTTGAATATTGTTTTTTATTTATTATTTAATTAATTACTAAATTATTAAATAAAAATTAAATATAAAAAATTATTTAAAAAAAAACGATAGGTTCCTTTTTTTTTTTTGCAAGTTGTTTTTCTGTGTTTTTACCACTAAAAAAATATTTATTATTACAATTAGAATTTTTACTATACCTGGCATGAAGAATTAACATGATAAAATTTCAGAATAAAATTTTATTTTATCAAAACATAATTTTAATTAAAAAAAAAAAACCATGTAAGACTATCTAGGCAGGCAGCCTGTGTAGCACGCGAAGACGGGTTTAGATAGGCTATTTATAGCTCATCTAAACCCATATTAAATGTACTCATTTACCCCTGACGAAGCAGGGGTAAATGAGTGTATATATAGATATATATATATATATGTGTGTCTGTGTGTTTGTGTGTGTCTGTTTGTGTGTGTGTGTTTGTTGACTTTTAAATAATTTGGATTTAATAGGAATAAATTTTTTTTGAAGTAAGTTGTGATGAAAGTAATAAAGTAATTTTTATTTGCTTTTTATTTTTAACATCATATCGTTTTTTAGTATTAGGAATGCAACGCATAGTGCGCTGCAATCCTACTAAAAAAGGAAATAGGTTAATAATCTGAAAACCATTGAATTTTTTGAAATAACTTTTACACAGGACATTTTATATTTATTTTTGTGCATATTTAAAAAAAAAAAAAATCAAAGAATTAGAAAACCTGAATTTTTATTTTTTTCAGGATTAATTTAATTAACCGGTATAAAGAGTTGTAAACTGGTAGTTTTCTTTATTGACTTTTTTTGGTTTTTAATTAATTTAATATATCATTAAAAAAATATAGATATATAAGTATAATGTAAAAGTGTGATCTTTATCATAAGTAATTCAAAAACTTAAATACTTGTTAAATATCAAAAAGCCTATACAATCATTTTTGCAATGATTGCATAGGCTTTGTATAGATGAAATTTAAATTTTAGAGCTTCATAATTTAATTTTGCCCCAGGGCCTGAGTCAGCTTAGAATGACCCTGTGTAAAAGTATTTTCAAAAATCGCCAACACAGAATAAATAAACAAAAACAAAATAATGAAATATGTAACCGAAGGAATAACAAGGTACAAACATTGCTGACATGCAATGAATTAGATAAAACATTAAGGTAGTAAACAAAAGCTATGTACCTTGTAAAAGATGTAATAGCACATACTATTGTTATTAATACCGATATGGAAAATTTAGATTGAAAAAAATAAATTGAATAAGTAGATATAAAGATTTTAAGATGGTTAATGGACTAAATCTACTTTTAAATCAACTGTTCAATTTTATAAGTCGACTAAATTAGACTTTCAACTAGTCGACTTTTAGTTGATTTAGTGGAAGTCAATAACAACACTAACACTTTTTTTTTTGTGTGGTGCTCCAAGAAGACCTAACAGCCTTGTCACAGAGCACCGCAGAAGTGCATTTAACCAGGAAGTTCACGCCTCCTTTTTTACCGTGACGCAAAAATATGTCCAGAGTTTGTTTTGAACCTGGATCTCCTGCTTATAAAAAAAGCGCTGTAACCATTGCGCCACGGCCACACGATATATATATATATATATATATATATATATATATATATATATATATATATATATATATATATATATATATATACTATAGCAAATTGAAGTCAGCATAGTATTGATATATTCTGTTCACTTTAATTCCTCACATTAATCCAGATTTTTTTAATTAGTTTATGATTATACTTAATTGTAATAATGGATCTCAATACTTAAAAATCATTTAATCTCTATGAAAAACATTTAATGGTTATAATTTTCAAATGATATAAATCATGAATATATTTTTTGTTTCTATATTACTTATTTTTAGACTTCAAAATGGAGCATTCAACATTATTCAGATCTATGTTTTTCATAAAAAAACTGGGTAGATACTGCAGTAATAATTTTTTTTTTAATTATGTTTTTCTTTTTTTTTTACCTCAGTAATTATTTTAACTTGCTACATATAAACTGTATATTAAAGTATAGATGATTTACTTAATAGTTTTTCTAACTTTGTAAATTTGTATTATGTACAGTTTGTAAGAAAATAAGCAGTAAACAATTAAATAAATTTTAAAATAAGTGAAAATATTTTAGTTTTTCACTTAAAATAACTTAAACATTGGCATTTAAAACCTAGTATACTGCTACTCTAATGTTTTTTGCCCAACTAAAAACTAAAATAAATAAAAAAAAATTAAAATAATATTTAAAAAAAAAAAATTCCAAAAATCTTTAGAAGATGACACAACACACTTAAGTTAAAATGCTAATATTTCATTTTGATAATGAACTTTTCCAAAAATAGCAATTAATGATAATTAATTGAAAATTAAATAAATAAATAAATATATATATATATATATATATATATATATATATATATATATATATATATATATATATATATATATATATATATATATATATATATATATATATATATATATATATATGTATATATATATATACACATATATACAAATCTAAACAACTAAAACATGCAATTTTACAAAGATTACAATTTTATAAAAGATATATTTTACAATTAAGTTAACATTAACACTGTTACTGCAATGTTTATCATTGTGAGGGGCTCAGCTAACTTTTATATTTTAGTCATAATGCTAACTTTTTTTTTTTTAAGATCTAGAATAATGGATAAAAGTAGTCTTGATGATTGTTGAAACTGTAAGTAATAAAGCGTAAACAACAAAATGCAAAATATAAAATAACTATCTATATAAGTTCCAATAACCTTCAAACTATTGTCACAATACTTTGAAGGGTATTGGAACTATTGTCACAATAGTTTGAAGGGTATTGGTATTGGATACACAATAATTGTGTATAATAAAAAGTAAAATACAATTGTAATTTTTCAAATTAATGGTTTACTATAAAAAAAATTCTAAAAAAAATGATCACTAATAAATTTATTAGCAATTACACAATTGAGTATAACGATTAGAAGTAAATATGTGCATGAAGTAATAATATTAAAAATGTAAAGAAGACAATTTTAAAAATTCGTTGCGGAGTTTTCAAAGTTCAAGGTTGATTACTTGTTACTAAGGGTTATTGCTAAAATTAAATTTGTAGTTTTTTTATTGTAATAAATACTGTATTTCGTGGCAAGGCCTTCTAACCAATTGTTATGTCCAAATATTAATATAATGTTAATAGTTTTATCAAGTTTTTTATATATATTTATCAAGTTCTAACTGATCTCGATTTCTGTTAGCAAAAATAAACATATTCTTGGAGGAATTAATTTTAGTAATATTATCTAACTTTTTTTTAAAGTTATTATACATTTGTAAAGTAAATAATTTCTTAATTTATAATAAATCACATTCGAAACTTACAAGATCAGCAGATCTCGTTACGTTGGATATTTTCGCGGTTGAGAAGCGACAGACTGGTTTTTGCAACGACGCAAAAAATGTTTCAAAGAAGTGAAGTTTATGTTAAAAACGATGCTAACAATTGCTTGCATCATTTTACTTCTAAATTAATAACGAATTATAATAAAATTACTTTTTAGTTTTAAATTGTTAAAATAAATAAAAAATTTTATAAATTTGAAAAAAAGTAATTGTTGACTATTGAAAAAAGATGTCCCCAAAACATAAAATAGGCGGATCCTCTAAACAAAACTAATTACATGCATTTTTTTAACCTACTTAAGTGTTAATGCGATTGATGTTAATTTAATCAGCGTTATTACATGTGTGATTGCTTAATAAACTTGCTTCCTGTGAAAAAAAAAAATGCTATTCTAGCTTAAATAAATAGTTTTTCTAAAAATAATTTTTTTTTACAAACTTTTAGTGTTCGAAAATTATGACAATGTAAAACTTACAATCCCCTTGTTTTTGGGATGGTTTTTGGAAACTTTACATAAACATAACTTACTTTAGAACACTAAAAGATTATTTGATAAAATTTAAAATCTATTAATAATTTTAAAGTCAGTAAGAGATTGTAAATATATTTTTGTTTTCAAATCCTTCTCCTCACATTTGGGATAAAGGTGAAAATTTTTATGGGTGTTATTGTTCCAAGGCTCTAATCAACAAAAAATGTTTTTTCAAAGTATTTCTTTTTTTCAATATATCTTACATAAAACGAAAGCATATTAAGTGGTAGGTCGTAATGTTCATTAGGTTGACTTTTTTAAATGCTGCAAAGTACATTAATATTTAACTCTTTTAAAATGTTTTTGACGTAAAGACTGCTATCACAGTTTAGAGAGAGAGGAGAGAGGGGTTCAGACATATGTAGGCGTTTGTGACAGGAAGAAAGGGGTTAAGAATTGACAAATATTGGGTGATGTGCTTTATGGATGAACCCCCTTAATTGCAATTACAAACAATTCGTTTTACTAAAACAAAAATAAAAAGTGTTCAACTGATTTTTTTTTTTTTTTTTTTTATTAGGGGAATAGCAAACACATCTTTTTCTTTTAATGTCTAAATAAAAATATTTATATAATTTTTATTTTTATTTATCTATGTATATTTATATATCAACCAAAGTAAGAATACATAAATAATTAAAAAAAAAAACAATAGTATTAATTTTAACTAGCTGTCATGACCCGAACGATACGATTCGTGGTAAGTCTTTTCCACACTCGACTATTCTCAACTTATTCTAAATTTAGCCTTTAGACATAAGTTTATTTTCGTAAACGGCAAAAAATAAATCAATTTAAAGTTCTGGTAGTAGGTAAAATGTGAACTTTTTAGCAAACCATAAATCTATTGAAATATTTTGAATATAATCATCATTCAGAATATTTTTTAAATTCTTTTATGTGGAAACTTTTAAAATCAGTCATAGGAGAAAGAATTTGACCTAAAGACGGAACAAAATTATTATTGAATACACTTAGTACACATTAATTTGTTAAGTACTCTATTTATTTATTTAAAAACTTAAAAATGTGACTAAACAGATAATAAATAAGAAACTTACTTTGTGAGGTTGTTTTTCTTTTATAAAAGTTTCAAGATTTATTGTTGCAAGTTTGGATTAACAACTCTTTTTATTAAGCAAGGCTAAAAATAAATGATTACAATAAGATGAACCTTTGTTTTTATTTGAAAATTGAATCCTTAGCTTTTAGTGAATGTTTATATGTAGTCAGTTTCAGTAATGAAATTACCAAATCATCATTTAAAATTAAAGATCTCGACGTGAAAGTAAACAAAGTGGTAGAGAAGGAAACTAAAATGGCACCTATTGGCAGTGGCGGATTAAGGTGGTAGACTGCTAAAAAAGTTAGAAAAAAACAATTTATCAAAAATAGCATTGTTTTAAACAGTAACTGTTGTAGAATCTAAAAACATATAGATCTTCATATGAGAAAAAAAAATTTAGAACTAATAAAATTGATTTATTTTAGCAGGGTAATTTTGTTTTCCCTAGCAACGGCTAGTTAAGGTTAGAAATTAAAAAAAATTAAAAAACAAAGAAAAAATCTTAAAGCAACTAGGAAAGGGTTTGATTATAAATACAATGATTAAGAGGGACAGTATGTAAAAAAGGGGGATTTTAACCTGTTTTTATAAATTGGTATATTCAATATTTTAAATTTTATATGCATTTTTCTCTGTTTTATTCTTCTAATTTTCTGGCAAAGATTGCAGGAGCTGTAATAGTCCAATTGACTTCAAATTTTTTCCAGAGATTCATTATTATAAGCTTTATGTCCTGAGATAAAATAAATTTAGAATATAAATTTTAAAAAAATAAAATTTTGGTTCTTAATATCAGAAATTCAATTTTTAATTGGGCGCTTTGAAAAATCTAACGATGCTTCAAAATAAAGAAATTTTCAACAAAAATTTTTCTCTCAGGACATTTATCTACATAAAACGAATAAAAATACAAAAAATTAGAACTTAATAAATTATACTTTTGAGGTATCTTTGCCAAGATTTTAGCCTGTTTTTGACCTAAAAATACCTGCTTTTTCCCTAAATATATATATATATATATATATATATATATATATATATATATATATATATATATATATTATTATTATTATTATAGTTGTAGCCGTAAATTTACATAGAATGTACACGTACAGCGAGCAGGGGAAACACCCCACTATAAACAACCAGTTTTATAAATATTTGTTCCAAACTTTTTCCACAACCAGGAGTCTAGTCTATTTTTGAAAGAAAGTACAGTGGAGTACAAAGTTATTTGCTCTGGTAGATTGTTCCAGTATTTTGCTGATCTATTATACAAATGATTATATCTTGGAAGACAGTTTAGAACATACTCACGCCTTATTTTAGAATGGTGACCACGAGACACGGAGTTAATATATTTTGGTAGATATTTATCATTAACTATATCAAAACGATGTATTAATTTAAAAATTTGGATTAAATCGCATCGAAGGCGTCGAAACTCAAGTGATGGTAGGTTTAATCTTTTTAGCCGTTCGCAGTATTGAAGATGCCTCAAGCTGTAAGCCCATTTTGTAGCTTTGCGTTGAACAGATTCAACCAAAGCCATATCAGCTTTTAAAAAAAGAGCCCAAATGGACACTCCATATTCAAGATGTGGTCTTATAAATACTTTATATAATTTGAGAGCCATTTTTTCATCAATGAAAGTGAATGTCTTTTTCAGCATACCGAGAATTTGTAAGGACTTAGAGACAACTGTTTGAATATGAGCGCTCCACTTGAGGTTAGATGTAAAAATGACTCCTAAATCACGTTCTTTAGTAGAGCTTCTTAAAGATTGGTTGATTCCTTGGTTATTTTGAAGAAAGTAATTGTAATGGGGGTTGTTTCGACCGTAATGAATGACGCAGCATTTTGAAGTGTTTAGCTTAAGTAACCAAGTGTTTGACCACTCGTATACCAAGCGTAGACGATCCTGCAGATCAACAAAATTAGATTGCGATAAGGTTTTAGAAAAAAGTTTAGTATCATCGGCAAATATCTCAGAAGTTTCAGTGAGTTTTGCGAGATCATTTGTGTAGAGAATGAAGAGGAGCGGGCCGAGAACAGAACCTTGAGGAACACCACTGAGAACATCAACCCATGCAGAGCTGGTATTGTTAATTGTAACGCGTTGCTTTCTGCCCACTAAAAAAGATTTAATCCATTGTAGGAGTTTGCCGTTTATTCCGAAAGATCTTAATTTTAACAAAAGTCTGTTGTGAGGTACAGAGTGAAACGCTTTGGCAAAGTCAAGATAGATTACATCAATAAATTGGTGAGATGCTATGGAGGACGAAATGATATCAAAAGTTTCTATTAGGTTAGTTACGCATGATTTATGATAAAGGAAGCCATGTTGATTTGCAGAGAGCATTTTATTATCGTTAATGTGCTTTAAAATTTTTTTCTTTACAAGTTTTTCAAAGATTTTACAGGCAACAGATGTTAGTGAAATAGGTCTATAGTTTTCAGCAAGTAATTTATCTCCCTTTTTTTTATAGATCGGACTAATATTTGCTATATATATATATATATATATATATATATATATATATATATATATATATATATATATATATATATATATATATATATATATATATATATATATATATATATATATATATATATATATATATATATATATATATATATATATATAAAGTTATAAGTTTTCTAATGTATTTATCATGTTTGAAGTAAAAAAATCTATTAAAATATTGTAAAATACAAAAATAATTTTTTTAGCAGTCTATCACCTTAAGACTTCTTGGGGCCCAGGGCTATTTTTATTTTTGGAGGCTTTTTTATGGGCCAGAGCCTAAAAATGACTAAAAAAAAATGGTCCTCTAAAATTTTTAAGGCCCCTAAATTTGCGGGGCCTGGGGTTATAACTCCCCCCCCCCCCAACACACACACACCTTTATCCGACACTGCCTATTGACAGCGATATTTATAAAATTATTAAAGTAAACATATATATGTTTCAAAACACAGGGTATAAAAGGATAAAGAATTTTTTTTTTTTGCCATTTAAAAGCAAAACTTTTACAATAAAATATAAGATATTACCCGCATTTAAAGTTGCTATAAAACTGTTATAACAGTGTTATAAAATACGGTTATAAAATTGTTATAAAATTGGTAACTAATTAACGTTAATTGTTACTAATTTTACTATTTCTAAAGTGAAATAAAAAAATTTTTTGGGAGCTTTTGTTTACCGTGGATATAAGGAATGGCACAATTTTTTAGAGAAACAAAAACTATATATAGACAATAGATATCATAAAGAAGCTATCAAGCAAGCTAATGGCATTTGTTGTTGTTTTGAAGATCCAACACAAACCACTCCATTACAAAGCTATAGCACTTTAAAAAACCGACAACAAATGTACCCGTAGATTGATAATTTACAGTGAGGAGATAACTGCTTTCCAGGAGATAGTTTAAATGTATAGTGATCTTACAAACTCAGAATCTCCAAAAGACAAGTTGCATTGCTGCTA